CCATCACCCAAATCACATTGTTAGGCTATCTGGCATGACCCGAGGCCCCCAGGCAGACAGGGGCACCCCACCAGGCATAACACTCCAAGGCTTTAGATACTATCTGCCTGAAGCCAAGGGCAAATCCAGACCCCTCCTTGGGCAAAATTACTATCTGCCTAAAGCCAAGGGCAAAGTCCAGACCCCTCCTTGGACAAATTTAAGGCCTTTACTATATAGTTTGAAAATCTCTTGATGACAAGGGAGCAAAAGATTCCTAGGACCTGCCTATTGGAATCAAACTTGGCAACCCTAGTGTTGAAAGTAGTATTCCAGGACCACCTGCATCAGAGTCACCTGGCATTAGCAAACCACAGACTCCCAGGTGGTGCTAGTGGTAAATTACAAATCCAACTGCCAATGCAGAAAACATCAGAGATGTGGGTTCCATCCCTGGGTCAGGAAGATCCCCTGGAGAAGGAAATGGCAACCCACTCCGGTATTCTTGCCTAGAGAATCCCCATGGAGAGAGGAGCCTGGCAGGCTACAGTCCATGGAGTTAAAAAGTGTCGGACATGACTGAAGCACCTGAACACACACACACACACACACAGCCCCACCCCAGCCTACTAAGTGAGAGGAGCCTTAAAATATTCATTAGGCATGTTTCTTTTCTTTAGCAATTTCTTATGGAGGCCAAAATTTGAAAAACGTAATTATGATCCCAGGTCCTTGTTCCTAACGGTAGAGTGAAAATAGCACAAGATGTGGAAATGAATGAAAACTCTGCTACTGGCTCCATGACAATTTATCTTGGGCGAGTCTTTGTTCCCCAAACATTACGTTTGGGAACAACATTTGGAACACTGTGTTTCTGACAGATGTGACTCATGTATCAAGTTCCTAGACTGAGAAATATACATCATGTTACTGTATGATCTCAGGGAAGATGCTTATAGAATTATAACATGGNCATTTGGAACACTGTGTTTCTGACAGATGTGACTCATGTATCAAGTTCCTAGACTGAGAAATATACATCATGTTACTGTATGATCTCAGGGAAGATGCTTATAGAATTATAACATGGCATTCCTTATATATGCTAGTGTGTTAAGTTATGGTTTGCCTTAGGAAAATGCAGGGAGTTCTTTTTTTCAGAGTAACTACCTAATTGTTATTGAATGGCAAGAGTGTTACTCTCCATTCATAAATTGCCGAGTGCTTACCCTGTGTCAAGCATTGTTCTAGGCTATGAGCAAAAAGGAACAAAATGGGAAATGGCTTCTCTGCTTTCAGCCAAGAGCACATATATATTGTGCCAGATGCAGATACATGCTATGTCCATCCAAAAAGTTAGGATAAAGGGGGAAAGGCAGCTAAAGGATGGGATGTGAGTAGGGGAGATACTATTTAACATAGAATGTTTAGGGAAGGAATTTCTAAAATTCGGGCTATACACAGAGGGGTGGAAAAACAGCCGTAGAGTTATTGGGTCAAGGGACCAGTAAGTGTTTAGGAGCTGAGAGGAGAACACTGTCATGAAGTAATAACGGAGAAAGCCTTAAGTGATGGGGTTGCAGAAAGACTCACAGGAGCAGACACAGGTGAAGAGCACAGATGCAGCTCTTTCAAGGACTTTGGCAACAACGGGGAACAACGGAATGGGATGGAAGGATGAGAGGAGGGTTGTATAGTGGTGGTGGCGGCTGTTAGCATTAGAGGCGTGTTGGTACGTTCATGTGGAATGATCCAATAGAGGACAAATGATAGAGGCTATACGGGGAGTGGGGAGTTGCCGGAGAGATGCCCTGGAGCAGGCAGGGAAGAATGGCAGCCAGTGTGCGGTGGGGCACCTGGCCTTGGACGGAGCAGCGGTGTTCTCTTTAGTTCTTGCTCCTCTCTGATCCTCTCTGATCACCTCTCTGATGATCACCTCTTCCTCACCTCTCTGATCCCCACGGGGACCTCATTTCAGCCTCCCTGCACCTTCTCATACCCTCTCCTCTTGCCTAAATTAGTTTGCCTCCTAATGGACACATAGCCCTTTCTTCATGGAAAGGAAAAAGAAAGCAGAAACTATATTTATAACATTCTCCACTCACAGAGTGAGGCTAACATGTCCACTCTGCGGGTTACCAGTTTTGTTCCATGGATCCAATGAGATCTGGTGCAGAATAGCCCTTGAGAAGCTAGTCATCCTTGAAGTTCACTTTAGAAGGGAAAGAAATCGTCACCAGAATTCTAACTGTGCTGGCTGGTCTTCTCAGCATGCTGACTTTGTGTACCTTCCCTGGTCTTTTTACCCATTCTGTACTGAGTGACCAATTTTTTCTGCTGCTTCCCAATAACACTTTGAGTCTAATGTGTCTGAAGGTTACATCACCTGCTGGCAGAACCCAGAGTCCAAAAGTCTACTCTTCTGGACAGTTGTTAAATTCGTCTCTCAATACATTAAGCCTGGAGTGATTTGTTTGAGAAAAACGCATGGTGAGTTAGAATGAGAGCGAATAGTGCCACCTGCTGGAATTATACTTGAAGAAGGGGAGGGGAGACAATCTCTGTTAATACCAAGAGCCCTCCATGGTTTTGTCCCATTTGTTACTATGTCACTCNGGGCCTGGGGTAGGGCCATCCATACATGAAGCTCAGAGTTGTGTGGAAGCACATAGCTTCCTGGGCAAAATCAGGTCGGCTCATGAGGAAGAAGGTAGGGGAATGGCTAAGCGTCAGGCAGAATTCTCCGTGGGTCTCTCCCGTTTCTACTTGTCTTCTGAACAAGAGGCATTGTCAGCTTTGTCCATACCTTTGAAAGGGTGTGGGTGTAGCGGTCTTGGAAGATGATTGTCTTCCTCCAGAACAGAAGGTAGATTTATTTCCTGGCCGGGTTAATAAAGCTAATGTCTCTTCCCAGGGCAAACATTAAGCAGACTTGCCAGCAGCCCCTCTAAAACTTAGGGGTTTCTAGCTTTTAAAACACACTTGTCGTTCGGTAGGGAGATGGGATTTCTCAAAGGCAGTGTCAGGGGAGCTGATGCTGAATGACAGACGAAGGAACTCTTTCCTTTACTCTCACGTGGGGTCTCGCGGCCCCTTCCTCAGGAAGCACCGCAGGGAAGTGGGATGGGCTGAAACCGCCAACGTTTCTTCAATGAAGCCTGGATGGAGGCTCTTTGAGGAGGATCTGTTCTCAGTTTTTCCACTAGTCATGCGCGGATGTGAGAATTGGACTATAAGGAAGGCTGAGCACAGAAGAATTGATGCTTTCAAATTGTAGTGCTGGAGAAGATTCTTGAGAGTCCTTTGGACTGCAAGGAGATGAAGCCAGTCGATCCTAAGGAAAATCAATCCTGAATAGTCATTGGAAGGACTGATGCTGAAGCGGAATGTGAAAAGCTGACTCATTGGAGAAGACCCTGATGCTGGGAGAGATTGAGGGCAGGAGGAGACAGGGTTGACCGATGATGAGATGGTTGGATGGCATCATCCACTCAATGGAGATGAGTTTGAGCAAACTCCAGAAGATGGTAAAAGACAGGGAAGCCTGGCGTGCTGCAGTCCATGGGGTCACAAAGAGTCAGACACGACTGAGCAACTGAACAACAAGGACTATTCTCAGAGTCCCTTTTACTGCGCCCAGTTGGGGAGAGGGGACTAAGCTATAGTGGACTCCTGGGGACCTTCTCTCCTTCTCTAGAGGGAAGTGTTGATGTTAAGAAGACCGTGGTCCAGAGGCAGAAACAGGGGATCCAGTGTGACAAGCAGAGAGGGAAGCAGGGGTAATTTCCTGGTAGCTGTGGTCCTCAGGGTTTCTCCTAATGGTGACAACTCAAAGACCTGAACAAAAACCCATCATAGCAGGAGGAGGGGAGTGGAGAAAATTAGAGCAGCATCAGTCCCTCCAAGTCAAACCTTAGGGCTCAACTCAATTTATCCCTACATTGTATTTCCCTGATGGCTGCTGATGCCTTTTGAAATGAAACCATCTTTCCTACTTAGCTTGGAAAGCCTTGTTCTCTGGCTGTTCTGACAACTTACATTTAAAAAATGCATCTGCTAAAACACAGCACTGCAAGAACAGAACAAATTCAATCTTAAAACCAGAGGTTACATTTTTCCCATCGACTCACGCCAGAAATTCAGGGGAAGATCATTCCGTCCATGAGTTTTGTGATTGTTGACCTGCATTCTCATCATAACTTGCATAGAAACCTTGGTGAAGGTCCCTCCAGTGACCCCAAAAGGCAGGAGCCCCTAATTCAGAGAAGAAATGTCACAACACCCATGTGGCATCACCATGGGTGTTAAAATTAAAGTCCCCTTTCTAATGACATAAAGGAGCCAAATTCCCTGGTGCAATGAGGTTGATTACACTGAGTTCTGTGTCTAATGTCCCTGGAGCTCAATAGAGTAACTGCCTCCTCAGAGGGGCCTGACCCAGGGGTGGTGAACAGTCTAGATCCCAAGGGAATCTGACCCACTGCGGTTTTTAAATTCGAAGTTTGATTGCTTGCAACATCGTCTTAAAATGGTACCAGTGCAAAGCAGCTGAATTTTTCATTAGCCTGGGGGAGGAAAAATGACAGATATTTAATTAAACCGCTTGGCGATTCGTCAGAGGCATTATTGATAGATAGAGGCACCAAATCACTTTCTAAGCAAAGTTAGGCCCTCCAGTGATGTGGGGAATCTGTTCTGTCAGAAAGCATTCGCCAAGCTGAGGAGCTGGGATCCACATGCTGCCTTTCCATCACTCTGCCTTTAGGAAAAAAAAAAAAAAATGTTTAAAAAAATGTGTTTATAAAGCACTCGGTGGTTACTGAGGAATTTAAAACCTAACATGTGAAGTAAGAAAGCTACTAACAATTGCAGTTACCAGCGCACCCTCCTAACCCATTTTTCCATTGTTGGAGGGTGATTTAATCGAGGAGGTTGACTGGGAGCAGACCTAGGAAAACAAAAAGAATGATTTGTGTGGTCAGTGCCGGAGGGGAAGTTATGAGAAGGACCCGGCATCCCAGATGGCGAGTGTTCAAGGTGTGTGGCAGGCGATTCCGGAAGGGGGTCTTCAGCAGGACCCACACTGCCCTGGGCACAGCCCCAGGGGTCAGGAAGAGAGGCGGGTCAGCCTCACTGCCTGCACAGTTCCCAGCTCCCAAACTCTCCGGAGGAACTTTAAAGATTAGATTGAAAGTGAAAGCATTAGTGGCTCAGTCGTGTCTGACTCTTTGCGACCCCATGGACTGTAGCCCACCAGGCTCCTCTGTCCAGGGATTCTCCAGGCAAGAACACTGGAGCGGGTTGCCATGCCCTCCTCCAGGGGAGCTTCCCAGCCCAGAGATCTGGTTACCAAAAAAGTATGCGTGGGGGATGGTCTGGCTGCCTGCCGCTCATAAGCCAGTAAACAGGCCAGGTTGGTGGAAAGGCAAGTTTGCTTTATTTCAGATGCTGGCAACAAGGTGGGTAGGGTAGCAGACATCTGCCCAAAGGCTGACTTCCGCCCCCACCACAACACGCAGGGGGTGAGAGCTTTTACAGACAGAGTTGGGAGGTGGGGTTACATGCAGAAACAGCACAGTCATCTCTAACATCATCTTCAGTTGGTCATCAGTGGTCTGACTAGCATCATCTTGGTTGTTTTAGGTACAGTTAATCTTCAGTTCCCGGGTGCACTTGTTCCCATTTCTTTGCAGTAGATTCTCAGAACTGTGGCAGCTCAAGCCCTGGGTATAGTCTGACCATCATGTAGTTAACTTCTCCACCTGGGGTTTTGGTGTCTATAAGACAGCTCACAGGATGTGGCTCAGAGTATCATCTACAGCCCTTGAGAAAGAACTAAAGGCCCTTGACCATGCTTAGTCACTACATCATTATTATTCATCTCCTTAGACTGTTTTCCTTTGTTTCAGCGTCTCTAACTTCTCTGATTAAACTTATTCTTTGACTTAAGTTTTCCACTGGCAGAGGACATGGTGGGGGGCAAGGACCATAGGGTCCTGCTCTGTTTCAGTCAAACTCAGGTGCCCTGCATTGCAGGCAGATTCTTTACTATCTGAGCCACCCAGAGAACCCCAACAATTAGATTAAGGAAACATTTTTGCGAATTCCCCCAAAGCAATAGCTCTCGACTCTAGGTATATATTAATATTTTCCAGGAAGCTTTTGAAAAATACCAACACCTAACCCAGACCAGCTGAGTAGGAATCCCTGGGGATGGACCTGCACACAGGTGTGTTTCGTAAAGCGCTCGCGTGACTCTAAAGTGCAGCCAGGGCCACAAGTCACGTCCTAGGAGGCACTGAAGAGTCCCAGAGTAGGTCGAGTTGGAAGATCCCAGATTCTGGAAGCTGAGAAGCCTGGTTCAGATCCTGACTCCACTACTCACTAAATCTAAGAAACTCAACATAGACTTAAGTGTCCTAGGCTTCATTTCTTTATTTGGAAAGACTCAGTGAGGGCAATTTCTTGGTAAAATAAGAAAAGGGATGTATACCTGGCCCCCAGTCCAAGCACACTTTCCTCCCCTTGGTTATAATTCATTAATGATGAATTGATGCTTTATCCCTCTTCCAAGAATTTCGCCTTAGACCACTGTATATAATAGCAAGTGACAGGTGTAGATTGCTTTCTCTATCTGCTTTGTTTTTCCTCTAGAAAAAATGAAAGTGAAGTCGCTCAGTCATGTCCGACTCTTTGTCACCCCCATGAACTATAGCCTACCATGCTCCTCCGTCCATGGAATTTTCCAGGCAAGAGTACTGGAGTGGGTTGCCATTTCCTTCTCCAGAGGATCTTTCCCACCCAGGGATCGAACCCAGGTCTCCCGCATTGTAGGCAGACGCTTTACCTTCTGAACCACCAGGGAAGCCTTAAGCTTTAAAACTATTTGGTATCTGGGAGAGAATACTGCTTCCCAGGTGGCGCTAGTGGTAAAGAACCCACCTGCCAATGCAGGAGACGCAGTTTCGATCCCTAGGTCAGGAAGATCCCCTGGAGGAAGGGATGGCAACCCACTCCAATATTCTTGCCTGGGAAATCCATGGACAGAGGAGCCTGGTGGGCTACAGCGCTTGGGGCCGCAAAGGACACGACTGAGCTACTTGGCACTCCGGCATGCGTGCACGGAATACTCATGTGGCTCTCCTGTCTCTGTTCCTCCAGCTGCCACGGAAGTGTCCTTTTCATTTGACGTCGGGAACGGGCCAGTGGAGATGGTGGTGAGGTCGCCCACCCCACTCAACGATGACCAGTGGCATCGGGTCACCGCGGAGAGGAACGTCAAGCAGGCCAGCCTGCAGGTGGACCGGCTGCCACAGCAGGTCCGCAAGGCCCCGACGGAGGGCCACACCCGCCTGGAGCTGTACAGCCAGCTGTTTGTGGGTGAGTGATGGGACACACCGCTCACCTCGGGGAGAGGAGAACCGCCTACAGAGGTTCTGATGGAGATTTTTCTAAAAGTGCCTTTGCATCTTGTGGGCTCCTCTGAGACAATGGGAGACAAGGGACAGGACGCAGGAGCCCTCAATCTGGTGTCACTCTGCTTTCTGGAAGTCACAGTCCTCATCTACAAGATGATAGGGTGCCTAGGGTTTCTCTGAGGTCCCTGATCTGTGCAGTTTTAGGTTTATAGTTTTAGACCTTCACTGAAGTCGCTATAGTCCATAGAGTCAAAGCTGTGATCTTTCCAATAGTCATGTATGGATGTGAGAGTTGGACCATGAAGAAAGCTGGGCACTGAAGAATTGATGCTTTTGAATTACGGTGCTGGGGAAGACTGTTGAGAGTCCCTTGGACTGCAAGGAGATCCAACCAGTCCATCCTAAAGAAAAACAACCCTGAATATTCATTGAAAGGACTGACGCCGAAGCTGAAGCTCCCATATTTCGGCCACCTGATGCTAACAGACAGCTCACTGGAAAAGACCCTGAAGCCGGGAAAGATTGAAGTCGAAAGGAGAAGAGGGCAGCAGAGGATGAGATGGTTGGATGGCATCACCGACTCAATGGACGTGAACTTGGGCAAAGTCCGGGAGATGGTGAGGGACAGGGGGACCTGGTTTGCTGCATTCCATGGGATCGCAAAGAGTTGGGCATGACTTAGCAACTGAACAACAACAATTCCTTAAATGATTTAGAGCACTCGTAACTGTGTAAAAGGAAGGATGCACAAAAGGAGTGACGTAATGGGCTCCGTAAGTTCAGGTTTGCTTGAAATGAGAAGTAGAAATCCGCTCCATTGTCTGCCCAGCCTCAAAGTTCTAGGCAGAGGGAGATGGAGCCTTCTCCTTACACAGCATCTTCCCACAGAGGAAAGAGATCAACACGGAGAAGAAACTCAACCAGAGCAAAAAGTAAAGCACCCTTTGCAGGAAGTGGCTCCAGCCCCACAGTCTGGGCTCTGCTTCTGACACTTTCTAACTGAACCTAACATTACTTCCAAGCTATAACACCTGTGTCCATGGTTAGTGAGATCTTAAATTTTATTTTCCAGAATACTAATACCTTAGGCAATTTGCTAACCTTCCTCCGTTGGTTGCAAAGAAAGCAAGTTTGGCTGCCATGCCACCTTAGACCTCCCCTCTGGGTGTGTGGGTGTTTGCTGGTCAAGTCAGTCGGCTGTGGTGGTCTCAGACCCAGTAAGGCAGAGGTGACCTGCCACTGGGGCTCTTAGGCAATGGAGGTCAGAGTCCCCACGGTGTCATTCATAATTATGGTGGGATGCTTGAAGAATGTTAGAAAGCCACAAGAAGACAGGTGAAAGTAGGTGTCCACTCCTTGGTGAAACATTGGTAAACTGGAAAAGTGTGAGCTTAGTCAGTCAGCTCTGGAAGTAAGACTGACTTGAGAACAAGCCATTTGAATTTTTTTATTGTGGTAAAAGTCACATAATATAAAATATACTATTTTAACCATATTTAACTGCACAGTTCAGTAGCGCTAAGTACATTCACATTGTTGTACAACTCTCACCATCATCCATCTTCTGAACTCTTCACCCTCCGAAACTGAAACTCTGTGCCCGTTAAAGTAACTCTCCATCCCCTCTCCCCACCCCACTCCCAGCCCCTGGCATCTACCAGTGTGCTTTCTGACTCTGAATTTGACTGTTCTAGGCACCTTATGTAAGTGGAATCAAACAGTATTTGTCTGCATCTACCATATACTGGAATGCATTTTTTATTAGCATTGGAATGCATTTTAAGGTTAACTTAATATATGTCCTACAAACAGATTGGACCTCTGTCTTCTTTTACCCCTGTGCTTTATAGCTGGTTCTCATTAGTTATCTATTTTATCCATAATAGCGACTTAGCAGCAGCAGCAGCAGCGGTGTACATATATGGGCTTCCCAGGTGGCCCAGTGGTAAAGAATCCACCTGCCAAGCAGGAGACACAAGAGATGAGGGTTTGGTCCCTGGATCGGGAAGGTCTCTTGGAGTAGGAAATGGCAACATACTCTATATGTCAGTCCCAATCTCCCAACTCATCCGACCCCCTTCCCCTGTGTGGTGTATATATTTGTTCTCTATGTTTGTGTCTCTATTTCTGCTTTGCAAATAGGTTCATCCATACTATTTTTTCTAAATTCCACATATATGCATTAATATTATTAAATACCAGGTCCACAAATTCCTGCTGAATACTGTGAGCAAATCTCCCCTTATCAATACCTCTTGGCCAGATCACGTAGACGTAAGTCTCTTCCTAAACCCTGCTCATCCCAGGCATGCTGGGTAGATTCTACTTGGTTTTCATTATAACAGATGACCCTAATTGACCCAGGTTCTCATTTTTCTGAGATAACTTTGGATGCAGAGGTCCAATTTTACTTTTATCTCTTTCTGTCTACTGACTATAGTTATCTCCAACATTTTTGGAGACTAAGCAAAATTGTAAAATGAAGAAGATAGCGAGAGTATTTATTATGGCCTTGGAAAGAATTTTGATTCATTTCAATGAGATGACCAGAGACAGTTTATAAAAAGAGCAGAGGAGAGGACTGAGGTCAGAATTCAACAGAATACCTAAGTGTACGGGACAAACAGAAAAACAGCATCTCAGGAAGAAGAATGAGGAGGGACGAAAAGAGCAAGCAAGGAAAAGCCAGGAGAGCGGCTGTCACAGGGGGAGAGAGTTTCATGACATGGTTTGCTTATTACTGACAAATCATACCAAGTGCCATGCTTGAAATAGGGCTAAGAAAATATTCTTTGAGTTTAGCAATTATGAAACCACTGTTGACCTTGGAGAGAGAAAAGGTTCACAGAAGTGGGCTGATGTGATGAGTCAGCAAGTTCCTTTCACTTGATGAGGAAGAGAAAGGTCCCCTGCCCCAGTTTCTAATTTCCTGTTATCTGAGATGTGGACGTGAGTCTCATCACCAAGACACAAGCTCATTGAGCCGGTATGAGAAACGCTCTTCGAGCCAGTATGAAAAACATCTTCTGCAATAGAAGTCTACCCCAGGGGACATGGGAGGGGGCTTGTTTTCAGAAAATAACAAATTCAACAGCTATGAAATTCTGGAGCCAGTTACCCCAAGACTATTCAATAGGGATTCAGATAACCGGAAGCGGTTCTCAGTTCAGCTCTAATAACAAGAGTTATCACTTTTCCTCTTTTTCATCTAATAAAAATCTCCTTTTTCACCCAATCAAGGTTTGGATTTGCTGCTTTCCAAACTTTCTTCTAACTTTAACCATTTAAGATTATGTGTTAAGAAGTATTTTGAAAAGGTCTGAGTTGCCAATCACTCATAACATAACTGAGAAAGCTTCATAACTGAGTTGTGATCACTCATAACAACCCCAACTCTGCCACTTAGCATCTGGAGACCACTGACAAGTTAGCCAGTATCTCCATCAGATAGGAAGATGAGCCTGTCAGGTGAGATGAGCCTGTGCATGCTAAGCGCACCATGGCGTACCCAGCTCAGAGCCAGCACTCATTAGCTGGGAGGTGTCTCACCACCCTTCCCTCGACCTTTCACTCCCTTAGCTTTCTCCGTCCACTGTGTCACGTTCACCCCCTCCTACAGGGCTCGCTTCCAACTGGCTTGTTTCTTCCCACCCCAAATACTCACCTGGGATCTCTTCAGCCCGCCAGCCCTGAAGGGAAGTTCATGGGCTAGATGCCCCTTGATATCCAAAATCAGTCTTCAGCCGCTCCACTCACCTGTCACAGTGGCCACAGAGCAGCTAGCCAGGGCACAGGAATTTTCTCACCAAGATGGTGAGTGAACGTCCACCTGCCAACATCACCCAGCAACACTGTCTTCAGCAGAGACGTGACTGGAGCTGACTGAGGGCTTCTAGAGGTGGACAGGCATAAAGCTCAGCCTAGAGCTAAAACAGACCCAGGGTCGTTCTTGGCTTTGGACCCAGAGTGGACTCCCAGGATGCCCACCCTCCACCCGCTGCCTTTGTTAACCAGAGCTGGGCTCCTGTCTCCTCTTCCACTAAAAAAAACAAGGACACAGTTCTCATCACCCCGCCAGTAAGAGGTAACTAGAAGGTACCATGAAAAGCCAGTTAACACAAGTCGTTTGGAAGTTATGGGAATCCAGCTATGATGGTGGTTTAGTGAAAAGGTCATTTTAAAATGAAAAGTGATGCAGGGAAGAGAAGAGCGGTTGCTGGGATTTGTCTGAAAAGCACCGGAAGCTTTCTCGTGTCTTTGGTCCGCGATGAGTGAGTAGCCTGAGATGCGTTCCCGCGTGAACCACGAGAGGCTCAGACCTGCAGCCTCCACGCAGCCACAGGCCAGATTTTACCCAGTGGGTGGAGAAGCGCAGACACACTCGAGGTCATTATCTAAGTACAAACAACAACAGGCTGCAATGAGCCCAGGTTGGCAGAGAGACCTGCCAGTGAGTCCAGAGTCCTGGCCGCCGAAGCTGCAGCGGCCAGGCTGGAAGGGAACAGGGGTCTGGCGGACCCTCAGCCTGGAGCCCGGTGGCCGGCCTGGGGCAGGGTCAGCGTGAGTCTTCGGGGACAGGCGAACGGGCTCGCTGGGATCGGCGGGGCTGGTGCAGGAGTATGCAACAAAATCCACCCAGGCCAGAGTGTGGGACTGTGCTCGGCAGTGGTTTAAGGAGAGCTGGAGGCTCCAGGGGGGTGTCAAGCTGCTCCTAAGGACTCCTTGAGTAGGATGGTTGGTGGTGGTGGTGGAGTCGCTAAGTCGTGTCTGACTCTTGCGATCCCGTGGACTGTAGCCTGCCAGGCTCCTCTGTCCATGGTTAGGTCCTCTTAACTATGACAGATGTTCGGGCCCAACTCATTTGACTCTGGCCTCTTCTGATATCTCTCTGGAAGATAAAGGGGGCCAAGCCTTCTGTGCAAGATGTCACCCCGAAAGAAGCTGGGAAATAGTCCTCCATCC